TCATATCTGGCTACAGCCCCCGCCCTGAGTGGTGGACACGGAACCACCAGATGGCACCTTTGGCCTCGCTTTGCTCCAATTCCTTTCTGCCCCCAAATTGGAACACGGTGCTCACCGTGTCCCACTGTGCACTGGAAGTGTTTGCTTTCTTCTTGGTTTCCACACGGGCTCACAGCTGACAGTTTGCCCCGAGTCTCCGAGGAGACGTAGGGCTTGAATTTTTCAGCACTGCTGAAGCTGAGACTTGCCGACTCAGAGGTGCTCAGTGCATTTTACACAGTGAGACGGACAGCCTTTCGGGAGCAGGGGGGGAATGCTACGGTTTAGATCCAGAATGTCCTCCCGAAGTCTCAAGTGTTCGGAGGTGGGGACCACAGGTGGGGACCCTGAAAGGTGACTGATGAGGAGGTACTGTGCTCATCAGTGGACTGAGTCATAGCTGAATGTGCTTTTAGGGTGCAGGGCCTGGCTGGAGGGGTCCCTGGGGTGATGACCTGGAGGTGTGTCTCTGTCCCTGGCTCTTCCTTCTCTGCTTCCTGGCTGACACGGGGGGAGCATCTTTCTTCCTTCCACCACGCCATTTCTGCCTTGGAAACAGCCACCGATGGACCGAATCCACTGAAATCGTGAACCAAAATAAACCTCTCCTCCTTCAGGTTGTGGGCATTAGGTATTTTATTCCAGCAACAAAAAAGTGACTCATACAGACAGGGTTGACACTAATTTCTTTGCCCTGGGAACCCATACTGTCTTGGATTCACTGTCTTGGTAATAGAGGAGGTGCATTTCCAAGCACAGTAGGTTCCTGACTTAGGAATATTCGAGTTGTGAACTTTCACAGGGGAACTGTTAAGACTCGCCTTGTTGGCCTCGAACAAACCTGACTTACGAACAGTTCTCCCAGAGCAGAACTCGTCATAAGTTGGGCACTTACTGCATTCTCCTGGGTCTCCTCCACTCAGACTTATGCTAAGCCACAGGACCAATGTGAGGTTGTTTAACTCCAAAGCAACCATTTATGCCTTCCGCATTTGGGTCCAAGCACGTGTCCACTGGACCAGAACTAGAGGACCCACTGTGAGCTGGGCCGAGGCCAGTATCCATGTCTGGCAGCCCCACTATGGCCTGACCCTAGCAGGGCCCAGGACGGTGACCTGTCTCTGTGTATCATGTCTACAATGTTAGGGTACTCCTCGTGGTCCAGTCACCCTCTGATGATACAGGCCCAGTGGTCTGTTCAGTATGTTGTTCCTAGGGATACGGTAATTGGATCAGATTTGATTTTTTTTTTTTTTTTTTTTTTTGGTCTTTTTGAGACAGGTTCTCACTATGCAGTTCAGGCTGGCCTTGAGCTCACTTTGTAGCCGGGTCTCGAACTCATGATCCTCTTGCCTCAGCCTTCCCTGAGTATTCTTTTGTGCCTGGAGGACGAGCTTTCTGTACAGTATTTAAGAGTCTTCATGAATATTTCTTGGCCAGAAGGTCAGATGAGGGGGGTGACAGCAAACTATTCACTAAGGCACCACGGCCTCCCAGCCTTCCCAGCATCCCTTGCACAGAAGCAACCCCACATGACCGGATGCTGCTGGTCGACCAGAATCGGAAGTGACAGCATTTCTGGACGAGGTTAAGACATGGACGTACTCATTCCGAGACCTGGTGTTCAGGCCCAGGGAGATCTTGCACGTTAGACTCCAGGAGCCTCTGCCAGCTGGGGCCTGTGGGTAACACGGAGTAACTCCTACCAGCCCGCTGTTACGCCAAGGCTGGACTGTGACCTAAGCAAGGAATCATCTTTACCTGTGTTAGGCAGTGAAACTGTAGGAGTTTGTTTGATTAAAGCAACTGGTTACCCTACACATACTCCTTATACATTCTTTATCAAATCTCAATAAATTGGTTTCCGGCTGAGCAGATTCTGATGAAATCTGATGGTACAGTGTGACAGTCTGAGAGTAGGGAGTATGTGATGTGTACACAATTCATTCTGGAGGGTGACAGTACTGTCTTACAGAGACTGACAGCTGTTCTCTCTGGTTTCTGGAAACAAGGTTTCATTCTATTGTTCAGGCTGGCCTCACACTTGCTGTGATACTCCTGCCTCAGCCTCTTGAGTGCAGATTACAGGTGTGCACCCGCACGCCCGGCCAGCAGTTGTTCTTCATAATGGAGGATGACGTGCGATTAAAGGGACTCTTGACACCAACAGCGTCACTTTCACCCTCCACGACCTCTCAGGAGGGGTGGCTCCGAGAACCACCTGTGCAGAAGCGGGAAGGAGACGGTTCTCGGCGGCAGGCCCGCCGTGAAGTGTGTGTGCGTCACACGGGCCTTCCGGGGAGCGGTGTGCGCTAGCTGAATAGCAGCAGAAACTAACTTTTAAAAAATCGTATGATTTTACCAAGTAGCAGAGACTGGCTGGGTTAAAACATGTCAAGCAGGAGCTCTCCACAAGCCAGTAAATGAGGCTTCCGCTTTGCCGGGATGGGATGGACTGTTTTGCGAATGAGCTGATTTATTAGACTCTCTTGCAGTTTTAATTTGAAGGATCATCAGCGTCAGAATCCAGCCTTCAGCTCCCCCGTGTACGGGAAACTTCAGTCACACGGCCCAACCTCCTCCCGTCTGCAGCATGCCTGTCCTGTTAGGATTCGCTCATACCTCTAGCCTAGCAATTTCCACTTATTTAATATGCGTTTGTGATTTTGTGTTTCAGTTCAGACTGCATTTAAAAACCCAGGGGTTTTGATCTCAGAGGATGTAATTATTTCTTAGATTTTTAAAAAAGATACGATATGTTTTTGGTAATTTTGTAAAAGTTATCATTTTAAAAGTTCATTTTATAAATAGCTTTTGCTCCTATCTAGAAATTTTTTTTTTTTTTTTTTTGAGATAGGTTCCCGGTATATAGTTCAGGCTGGCTGTGAATTCACTTTGTAGCCCTGCTTGGCCTTGAGCTTGAGACAACCCTCCTGCCTCAGCCTCCTGAGTGCTGGGATTACAAGCATCTGCCACCCACATGGTTCTTCAGGGGCTTTTGGAATCACTCCTCTGACCACGCTGAAGGCTACCAACCTCACACACACAAGCAGGTGGAAAACCAGCGGCCCTGGCATGGGCACTGTGGATGAAGGGTGCTAATGTACCCTCTGGTGATGCTGTTTTGTGTTTATGCGGGTTCCTACCACACAGGAAACCCAGGGTATACAACCTTTTTCTCTCAGGCATTCTGCTGCCACTCCCTCTCACTCTGTAGTTATTTTTTTGAGACAGCATCTCAGTGCTTATTTCAGGCTGGCCTTGAACTCACCATGTAGCCCAGGTTGGCCTCGAACTCCTGGCAACCCTTCTGCTTCAGCTTTCTGAGTGCTAAGACTGTAGGTCAGCACCACCATGCCTGCAGGCTACAGTTGTATCTTTGGGTTTTTTTTATGGTACTGGGAATTGAACTCAGGACCGTGTGCTTGCCAAGCAGGCGCTGTGCTGCTGAGCTACATCCCCGGCCCATAAAATAACTTTTTATTTTACTTTTCTTGTTGTTGTTGTTTTGAGACAGGGTCTCACTATGTAGTTTAGGCTGTTTTTATTTTTTTCTTGCTGGTGCTGGGGATTAAACTCAGGGCCTTGCGCCTGCACGGCAAGAACTCTCTCACTGAACCACATCCCAGCCCCACGGTTATATCTAAATAAAATCTTACAGCCAGACAAGGCTCCTGGCCTGTCCAGGTGTCAGTGTGAACTTAGGTTCTCCGGGGAGGCAGGGAAGGAATCATACACACCTATGCAGTCCCCAAGAGAGTGCAACTATTGCATATTGCCAACATAAACTAATAAAAACAAAACCAAAGCTTGGCACATGCCTGTAATCACAGCACTCAGGAGGCTGAGGCAGGAGGATCCCTGGGAGCTCGAGGGCAGCCTGGACTACATAGTGAGTTCAAGGCCAGCCTGAACTGCATGGTGAGGCCCTGTCCCCAGAAACCAAGACCAAACCAAACCCGCCATTCTGGTGGTGGTGCGGCTCCAGGCCCTTGATCGAGCCCTCTGTCCCCTTTCTCACTTAGGTGCGCAGCCTCGGGGTGGAGGTCCCAGAGTGTGCTGATGGGGAGAAGCGACATGGCGGCTTCTGCCGCTCTGGACCCTAATATGAAATGCAGACCGCATCCCTGCTCGCCTTGCTTCTACCCCTTGAGGCTTGCAGGCAGCGCCTGGCAGTGCTGGCAGGTGACCCCCAGTGCACTGCGCACCTCTCTGCAGTCTGAGGTGTCAGGGTGAGGTTGTCCGGCTTCAGCCTCAGTCCTCGGGGCTGCGACTTCACATCTTTTGTCTTCTCCACTCTCTGGGAGGGAGGCGGGTCTGAGAGGCTGTGGGTCCAGGGAGCAAGACAGTTAGGCCTCCTAGCTCTGAGTTCTGCATCCAGGGACTCCACCAGCCACAAATCAGGAAGCAAAACTAAACAGCAGAGCAAGCCTGGACCAGGCGTGGTGGTACAAGCCTGTGACCCCAGGACTTGTTTTTTTTTTTAGTTTTTTTCGGTACCAGGAATCGAACTCACGACCTTGCACTTGCCAGGCAGGCGCTGTGCCGCTGAGCTAAATCCCCAGCCCCTGACCCCAGGACTTGGGAGACCGAGGCAGGAGGATCATTATGAGTTTGAGGCCAGCCTAGGCTACAACGTGAGAGCCTGTTTCAAAGCAAAGCAAAATGCCAAGTAATAAAAATGCAAAACCAAAAAAGAAAACAAAACAACAAAACATCCCGAAAGCTGCATCTGGGCCAAACCTGTGCAGCCTTTCCCTTAAATACAGGGTGACAAGCTTCCATGGCACTTCTGTTGTCTTAGGCCTCATAACCAGTGCAGAGACCACTGAAGGTGCAAGGGGTGCACACTGGACACACGCAAGCACCTGTCCGCAGAGGGGGGCCTGAGCGCCGCACACCCTGCTCCCCGCGGGGACCTTACCCAGCCGCCTCGGCCCCCAATCGACCACACAGCGGCATATGGCTCACGTCTTTTATTGTCAGCCTGAAACAGGCAGCACCTGGGTTCGTGTGGCTGCCAGGAGGGCAAAGGGTCAGGGGTCAGGGGTCAGGGGTCAGGGAAATTGCTGTTTCCTTCGTGGGTGGACCGAGATGGCCCAAGTCCTTATAATTTCTCCATATAAAAATAGAAGTCCAAGTCCAGATTATTTTTCCTCTGGCCATCGGTGCTGATTTATGTACAGGTGCCTCACCCGGACCCCACTGTAAACTCGGGATAAAATACGCTTACACTTTATCGAAGCCTCCACATCGGTGAGGGCGCTTCCCACGGGTTCCTGCCACAGCGCTCAGGCACACGGCAGCTCCCGGGGTCAGCGTGGCGACCGCCGTCCCCCGTCCAGAGGGACGCACACTAACCTTCAAGGAAAGGACTCTTTTAGCGTAACTGATCTAGAAATGAAAGGCTGGGCAGTGACTTCATACTGTCTAAACACAGCTCCGCAGCGGGGCGAGCGGTCTATAAATACAGCTACCCCGCAGGCTGTGACCTGACCCAATGCAGCAGACCTGGCCTCAGGGAAACCAACCCAGTCAAAAGCAAAGGCGGGGAAGTCCAGGAACCCGGCTGGTAACAAAACCGCCTCGAAAGTAAGGGCTTCAGACTGGAACTCTGAACTAGGAAAATATACACTGTTTACACCATTGCACATCCTCTTCCCTTTGTGTGTAATGCTTGCAGTAAAAGCGTGAGTTTTTGAACGTGCGCCGTGTGCAAGCACAGACGCCGGCAACAGGACGAAGCACTGAGCGGACACGCGTGCCGGGGAGGCTGCCAGCAGCGCTCCGGCCACACCGTCCCCTCCCTCCCCCACCTTCCTGTGGGGGAATCAGGCGGGGAGCTGAGTGCACAGCGGATGGACAGACCCCTTCCCTGCGAGCTCCGCAGGCGGCTCCCTTCAGTAGGACGGTCGAGGTCAAGGTCGAGGAGGGTTGGGTCTGCAAGGTAAGGCACTGCTGGCTGCTTTGGTGGCGGTGTGGCTTCTCTCCCCTTTCTTTTTTAAGGCATGTGTCGCGTAGAGTAGTAAAGCTTTGGAAATTGTGCAGACTGTTCGGCGGACAGCTCAGTACGCGGTCACTGCAGTTGGTGGGGCGGAAGGACCCTGAGACTCCTTCCTTCCAGGGCTTCCGGGGAGCCGGGCACCTCTGCCCGCCGCGGCCCAGCTGGGGACCGGAGCAGCCCAGCGGGGCGGGCGGTGCGAGCTGACATCAGAGCTGGGTGTGCCGCCGGCGCCTTCACCTGGAGCTGCCCTGGCTGCTCAGGGAGCGCGTGGTGCTGTAGCGCTTCTTCACGATCATGCTGATGTAGGCCTTCATGAGCTTGGCCACGTCCACCACCTGCCGGGGACACAAGTGCCACGCGGTCACAATGCCCGGTCACCCAGCCGCATGCCCTCGGCCTCCCACCCTCCTTACAGAAGCCAGCAGCTTCCGATGCGAGGCCAGGGACTTGCATGAAGCCAAGAGGGTGGCTGCCGATCCCTATTACCAGCCAGGGCCAGGTGTGATCCCAGTGCTCAGGAGGCTGAGGCAGGAGGATCACCGTAAGTGTGAGGCCGGCCTGGACTACATAGTGAGACCCTTCTCGGGAGACTATTCCTAGCCAGGAAGAAGGGAGTTGTGGTTTCTCCAAATGCAGTGTGCGCCACCTGGTGGCTCCTGCACACGAAACTGCTAGAAGTAAAACAGGACCAGCACCTAGAGTGCACGTGGGGGTGGGGTGTCACTGCAGTCGGGGAGGAAAGCCAAGTTCATAGCTGCCCTGCAGCACCATCGCATAGCTCTGTCTCCTGCTGTGACACTGCCGAAGCAGCAGACACTGGGGTCGCAGGAGCCAGCGCCCCCACACCAGCCATTTCTGTTCCCCACCAGCCACCTCCTTCCCCACATCTGGTTTCTTTTCCTTTTTTTCTTTTTCTTTTTGTTTTTTTTTGTCTTTTTGAGACAGGGTCTCGCTATGCAGTTCACACTGGCCTTGAGCTCACTATGCAGCCCAGGCTGGCCTCAAACTTGCAGTGATCCTCCTGCCTCAGCCTCCCGTGTGCTGGGATTACAGGCGTGCGCCACCACACCGGGTGATTTTGTTTTTCTTTTGCGCCAGGGTCTCACTGTGTAGTTACTCAGTGATCCTGCTACTTCAGCTTCGGCCTCTCGAATGTTGGGATTACAGGCGTGCACCTCCACGCCCAGCTCTGCTGTATATTCCAATAGGAAACAGGGAAATATCCTGAGGAGAAGACTTGGTCACAGGCCTCGGGGCGGCTCTTACCTCGCTGGTCTCGAAGAGAAGCTCCCGCTCATCCACCACGATCTTGTAGGTGTTGGCCTGGGGCGCCCCGAAGGAGAGGATGTGCTCATACTGGAAGACTTCCAGAGGCCGGCCCTCGCCTCGCTTGTATACGGACACAGCGTCTGCACTCACCCCCAGCCACAGCTCCTGCGGGAAGCCGCCCTCCTTGCACTGCGGGGGGAGACGCAGGGTTAGTGGGGTCAGGACTGCAGGGGCCGGGAGGCAACACAGTGGTGAGTGAGTCTGCAGGCCTCTGCCCTGAGCCGGGCAGTTGCTCGGGTGAAGTGCCGTGAAAACGCCTGACCCACTCTGCGCTGGGCAGGTCTGTCTGCTCTGCACAGGGATCAGCAAGGACCTTTTCTTCTGTTTTTTTGAGACAGAGCCTTGATATGTAGTTCACACTGGCCTCTGACTTGCAATGACCCTCCTGCCTCAGCCTCCCAAGTGCTGGGATTACAGGTCTCCGCCTGCTCAGTGCAAACAGGTGTTTCCCTGCTCTCCCTGCCGAGCCCTTGGCAGACTGACAGAGAAAACAGGGGTCATGGTGTGGGGGCCCCAGCGTGGGGCCATGGGAAGGGGCAGCACGGGCGGGCAGGAGTGTGAGGCACCAGAGGGGGGGCACTGTTCTCGGCACCTGTCACACCTGCCGCAGACCCCACGGGACCAACCAAGCAGAACCCAAACAGCACCCAGGAGAAGACATTAAGGGACCTTGGATGTGCAACCAGCATTTGGATCTGCGCAGAAACTCGATTTAACGTCTGAGGGGCAGGCAGGAGGAAGCCACCTAGACCAGGATCAGGCTCAGCCCTGCGTCCGCACACCACAGCAGCCAGGAATGACGACGACAAAGGACTGAATGCGACCGTGCCAACAGAGAGGCAGGTCTGATCTCGTGTGTGGACAGTTTGGCAAAACTTTTTAAGGAGAGAGAGAGAGAGAGAGAGAGAGGGAGGGAGTGAGTGCAAAACCTCCCCTACACCATTAGCAAGGCTTTTTTTTCAGTCAGTGGCTACTAAGAAAAATAAATAAAAAACAAAACAATAGCAATAAGCTAGGTGTGGTGGCGCATGTCAGTAATCCCAGTACTTTGGGAGGCTGAAGCAGGAAGACTGCAAGTCTGAACCCAGCCTGGGCAATTTAGCAAGAATCATGTGGAAAAATTTTAAAAAAAGGGGGGCCGGGGACATAGCTTTTTGTGTGCAGGCCCGGGGCTCAATCCCCAGCACCAAAACAAACAGCAGAACAAAAACTGTGAGTCAGTTGGTTAAATCCCAATTAGAAAATAAACATCTCATTTCATTGGCTGTTGTTTCCTTCAAATGGATAATGCTCCTGAGGAGAAAACAAAAAAGCAAACCAAGTACATGTGTGCATCTTCACGCTGAAAATCCAAAATCCAGAATGCTCTGTAATCGGAAACAGTTTGCTATGGACATGAAGCTCTAAAAGTTGTGCCACCTGGACCATTTTTTTTTAATGTCTTTTTGAGACAGGGTCTCCCTGTGCAGTTCAGGCTGGCCTTGAGCTCACTTTGTAGTCCAGGCTGGTCTCGAACTTGCAACGATCCTCCTGCCTCAGCCTCCCCAGTGCTGGGACTACAGGTGTGCACCACCATGGCTGGCCACCTGGAGCATTTTGAATTTCAGATTTTTGAGGTTCCTTACGCCCAAGCTGGTGCAATGTACCCAAACACCCCTAAGTCTGAAAATGAAAAAACTCTAAACTCTGAAACACTTCTGGCCCCGTTCTGGGGAAGACTCACTCCATTAGTATACCTGAAGTTTCTAGTGTATGTATCTAGTTCTAAAATAATTAAAATTATCAATGCAGGGTTTTTTTTTTTAACTAGCATTAAAAAAAAATCTATAGTTTCCACAAGAAAAAGTAGAACTTTTTGAAGAATAGACATTTTGGGGCCAAGGATATAGCTCAGTGGCATAGCGCATGCCTGGCAAGTAGAAGGTCCTGAGTTTGATTCCTGGCCCC